TTTGTCCCTTTGTGACTGAGATACCTCACTCAGCATAATGTCCTCCAGGGTCACCCATTTTGAATAATATTGCATGAGTTCCTTGGTTTTCAATGGGAGTTTTTGAAACATAAAGAAGCATATAAAATTAAGCTTCTCTCTAGCTGCTAGGTCCAATATCGTCAGAGAAGTCTTTGTATGGTTTAGGGTCATTAAATGACTTAGTTTAATAGAGTCAGATTTATTAACCCACCAAGTCCAGAAGTCAGTGACTGTTCTTCTAGGAGAATCTGCATACCCTGTTTTTTTAATGATCAGTTTCTGTAAGTAGGTACATACTTGACTGTTTAGGAATTTGACTCCAAACAACAGCAGATCCCGCAGGTCCAACATCTGGCCCACCTGTTCAGTTCTCTTTCCCGTCGCTCTTGCTGGTTCCTCGCATGGTCACGCTACTGTCGCTCACTACCCCATCCATCTTCATTCATTTGCTTCAGCCTTGGGTCGGCTTTTCTGCCTCTGTTGTCTCCATAACCAAGCCTTACCTTCAAAGCCTTGCCCAGTTTCTATCACTTCCTGAAAGCCGTCCAGATCCCCTGCCTGATGCTTCCTGCGCCTCTCATGACATCCCACCTTTGCCCTCTTGTTTTGGGCCTAGTTGTTTCCGTACCCATTGTATCTCATTTCTTTAACACTATAAAGCTTTGTAAAAAGTATCTGTGACTATCCCTATTATATACACAGTGATATTCTTAAGAATTTCAAATGTACTTTATTTCTTCAATTTTATATATATACACACACACAAACACACATATCTATACACATATATCTCTATATATACGTATCTATATCATCTATATCTCTATTTGTCTCTATCTCTATCTATCTCATCAACTATATCTATCTCATCATCTATATCTATCTATCTCATCATATCTATCTATCTCATCATATCTATCTATCTATCTATCTATCTATCTATCTATCTATCTATCTATCTATGTATCTATCTATCCTGGTTTACTTACAAAGTTCATATACGTTGCTTTTCACACCGCATCTTTTTAACTCGTACATAGTGCTTTTACGTGGCATCAATTAGAAGTTGAGTTTGAAGCAGTTCAGTGTTACACCACCAGCTGATTTGATTACTAATCTCTCCCTTCCTTTGTGGGGACTCTGCCTACAGGGACAAGTTCCATTCTGCCCTAATTTGCGTTGCTGTATACGTCCATGCAGTGACATGGAAAGTAGCTCCAATAGCCAGCACAGCGCTACCTTATTTGTCATAGGCATCAGGTACACACTCTGGTGGCGTGGCCTTACCATTATTCACTTATTGCTTCAAATCTGTAGGTAACTTGGGGCATTTTTAGCCCAGAGATACAGAACTCTGGCAACTTCTCCTGCTTGTTAGGTACAATCCTGATTAGTATCCTTGCGTAGGGAGCTCTGGTGGCCTAATGGCAAGAAGCTGTACTGCAATCTCAAAGGCACGCAGTTCAAATCCACCAACTGGTCTGCAGGAGAAGGATGGTCAATCTCCTGCTGTGAGATTAGCTGCCTCTGAAAACCTGTTATAGGTCAGCTGTGAGACACTTCTAACTCAAATTTACTTAGCAACAACAACAAACGGCACCAAATAAGCATTTGTTGCTGAAATGGCTGAAGTCGGTCTTTTCCTTTTCAAAGTACTCTCCAGTTCTTACTCGAATTTCTCTCAAAACAGTGGATCATCTCTGAGCTGGCTTGTTACACATACTCTATGGTAGCTGTCCCTCTGTACGACACCCTGGGAGCAGAAGCCATCATTTACATTGTCAACAAAGGTAAAAAGCACTATTAAACTACTAACTTAATTCTTTGTTTATAATGGTAAATCCATAATCTGCGCTTTTGTTAGCAAACTTGAAATGCTCTGGTTAGAAAATGTTCCAGTCTTTGATCTACAATACTTAAGATATAAATCACAGACAGGGAAGTTGCAAAAAGCCCACAAGCCCTACATAAACAGAGAGAGAATTTTCAATAAAATGCTTCAAAGCAGCACAGAATGTCAGTCTGCCTTAGAGACAAAACTGCTTCACTTTGGCCACAAGGAGAATAAGCCCTAGAATAACCTTCATTGACTTAATTTTGTTACAGTTCTCGGCCCTTATGCATTCAGGTCAATAAGGTTAACCGTTGTATACCAATATCCATGTGGGTCTGTAGGAAACCTTTTATTGCCATTGTTGAAAAAACAAGTCCAAGTTCAGTAGCCAAATAATAGTCCTTCCACATATCCAAGATGTTACTTTCTGTCATAATACTAAACACATTCTTCACTCAATGACATGGTTAGTTTCCAAAGACCAGGTCATTAGGCCAAAATCAATTAGACCATAAAATAAAGGATAATTATCTTATCACATAATTGTTAAGTTTTCCACCAAGAGATCTATTTATACATGCTTTCTAAATTCATAAGCAATGGCTTTTCTGAAGACTTGAAAATGTGTTTCCAGCATGACAAAAAACTGGGTCCTACAGTTTCTTTTAAGCTCCTTGATCAATGGAATGTTTCAAGTTGTACATTACAAATTTGATCTGCAGACATAATCCTCTCTCAGGACTCACTCACTAGCTTGAAACAAGCAAAACAAAGCCCAAAACCAGATCAAAATAATTTCCCTTGCTGGAGAAATGAGAACCTAGCAGAATGGTGGAGGGTAGTGGTAGGAGGTAACCGTGGTGGGAGGTAACCTCTGGCCTTTTTTCTGCTTTCAGCTGATATCGCCACCGTGATCTGTGACACACCTCAGAAAGCTTCGGTCCTCTTAGACAACATGGAGAAGGGCCTCACCCCAGGCCTGAAAGTGATCATCCTCATGGATCCGTTTGACGATGAGTTGAAGGAAAGAGGGGAGAAGGCTGGACTTGAGATCTTGCTCCTGAGTGAAGCTGAGGTATGGATCTGAGCTTGCAGCTCAGAGGGTGGTCAGGCACTGGGGGCAACTTGCAAGACTTCTATACACAAGGGTTGTTACTGCCAGAGGTATCAGAAGAGTCATGAATGTCTGAGATGAGTTAGATTGATATGATGAAGGTTGGAGAGTAGTGAGTTCAAGGCCACTCAGAAAATGATGCCAGTGAGTAAAAAGTCAGGAGGCTGGCATGCTCAGGTTTATAAGCAGCTAATTTACTCATAGAAAGTCTAGAATTTAGTAATAAATAATGGGTTTTGGAGCCAGGAAGATTCATCAAGAGGGAAGCCAGTAAAAGGGATGATTCAATCTCAAGTATATTAATGAAGAAGATAGTAATGGAATCTATTTGTCATATGTGTGTCCATCTTAGCTAATATTTCTTTTTTGGTTTTCTGTTCCTATAGAATATCGGCAAAGAGAACTTCAGAAAGCCTGTGGTAAGTCATCTCTCTCTCTGAATTTGTGTTCTTGTATATTCAGCTCTCCAAGCACATGATAGACTAAAGTCCTTTCCTTCCCCCACCAGCCTCCTAAACCAGAAGACTTGAGTATCATATGCTTCACCAGTGGAACCACAGGTCAGTGCCCGTGTGGTTGTTCCAGAGGCCAGCGGCCAGTCAAAACATGCCTCGCTTCCCTTATTACAAATGTACTGGCAGTTATATCCTCCCCTGAGCCCTGTCCTTAGGGGTTTACAAGCTCAAACTTACAGCTGTGGATGCCCAAATAGAAAAATATACATGTGACTGTTAAACGTCACTGAGTATGTTAGAAAGTGCTTCTATCCAGTGGATTTCAGGAATCTAAAAATGGCCTCATAAAATCCACATTTTTCTCCACCTGTCTATTCTCTCTCTTTCTCAAACTGACATCACTGGATGCATCCAGTCAAGAAAAGGCAGAGGTGGAGTGGATTGATCCCCACCAATTGTTATGATCCTATCAATATTTATTCATCTGTCTGAACTCATGTTTAGCATACCCCATGATGACAACAATTACAGTCATTGTATTGTGCTTAACCTAGAGGATCCTGTTGTTGTTATGTGCTGTGATGTGATGTGTATATGTTATGTGCTGTCTGTTGTAACAAATCGATTCATTTTCGACCTTCCAGCAGATTTTCAGAGGCTGTAAATGGCACGGGAGGAGATTGCCCATCTTTCTCCTGTGGCGGTGGATTCGAACTGCTTGATTTTCTTCTGACAGCACAACTCCTTAGCACTAGGCCACCAGAACTTTCTTATGGGATAATGTTGCTTGATCTGAAGTCACCAAAATGAATATAACACAAAGGCGTTTACTAGGATTTTTCTCTGTGACTCGGTTGCTCTCCAGCATCTTGGATGTGCCTTCAGTGGTGATAGAAGGCTAACAAAACTTGCAGTAATAGAACCTCTGGAGGCCCTAGACTATTCATAAACAGTCGCATAACATCCATGAAAACACATAGTCTTGGAGACGTTTTTAGGCTCTTTGTGACAGAATGAACTGAACATGATTTGTTATGTTAAAGCCAAGAGCTACTTATCAGCTGTTTAAGGATTGTTCTCGTCACATTTTGTTTCCTACAGGTGACCCTAAAGGAGCCATGCTGACCCATAAAAACATTGTTGCAAATGCTGCTGCTTTCCTTAATGGTATTGAGGTGAGGGAACCATTGAAAGAAAATGTGCATTTATCTTATTTTATAAAATATTTTTTATTTATTTTCATATAGTAATACCTTTACACTATGTTTCATTCATATCCATTTTCCCCTACTATTCTATTTACAAAATTTGAACAAACATCTCATTCTTGAAGTTAGAGGAAGAAACAGAGCATGATAACAGACTACAGGCGTGTGGTGTGGACAGATGTAGCGTGGTCTGTGTTGCGAGGGAACTGTTGTTGTTAAGTGCCATTGAGTCGCAGGTGACTCATAGCCACCCTATGAAGGAGAGTCCTCGACGCTTGGGTGTCTCTCATCCTCTTTCCAGGTTCAAAGGGTTTCCAGAGGCAAGCTATTATGGAAGAGAATGCCACTCCTGCTTCCAAGAGTGTTTTAATCTGGGAGTTCCACCCAACTCTCTGTCTACATTGGGTAGCCAACCATTAACGCATTTGACACATCAGTGTCACAGTGTTCAGCCTCACAAGCAACCACAAGTGACCGCTGTATGGCAACTTGTACACCAGGGCTATACGACCTAGAGGAATGTCTGAACAAAAACAATGAAAGACAGGCCCGAAGGCCGCGGATTAAAAGTCACCCACCTTTGGCTTGGTAGCATTGCTTTCTGACCACTGGGCCAGATGATCTCTCTCTCCATGTTGACGTTATTATTGTTAAGTGCTGTCTAGTCGTAGGCGACTCATAGCGGCCCTATGAAGGAGAGTCCTCGACACTTGGGTGCCTTTCATCCTCTCTCCAGGTTCATAGGGTTTCTGGAGGCAAGCTATTACGAAAGTGGATGCCACTCTTCCTTCCAAACTTGTTTTAATCAGGGAGCTCCACCCCACTGTCTGTCTGCATTGGGTAACCAACCACAGCTTCAAAGCTTGAGTTTTTAGGTTCACTGATAATGTCTACATTCCATGTAGTTAAAGGTATTTCTCAGAACTCTCCAATGTACTGCCAGCACCACTGTATGTGGCAAACGTAGGAAGGAGGAGTTGTGCAATTTCCTTTGGAAGATAAAATGGCCATAAGGTTAATCGATGCTGTCTCTTCTTTGTTCTTTGACATATAGGAAAGTTTTTACCCCACCCCTGAAGATGTGAGCGTATCCTACCTTCCCTTGGCTCACATGTTTGAGAGGATTGTACAGGTAAGCATCCTGCATGCTTAGCATAGGACTGGCTTGCTAGCTCCGTTGTTTATTCTAACAGCCCTAACAGTTCCTTTCTTCTATAATGGGTAGGACAGAGGCTGATACAACTGAATCCTAATCTAGTATCCATACAGCCCCAACTTGCACAATCTTCCTTGCTTGAGCTTCTGCATGTCAAAAAGGTCTAATACTTGTTCCTGCTTCTATCTAATGCCCTGCAAGTCTTTCAGATGATCCTGAATCTGATTTGTGACTTGAAAATAGTGTTGGGCTTTCAGAAGCACAGGTGATATGATTTGGCATCTTCTGTCTGTTGTCTCCAAATACCATATTCTACCGGTTTATGCCATGGCGGGGGGCAGGAGGGCTCTTACCCTCAGTCTTCTTGGATGCTCTGCTACTAAAATAGAAGTGAGGGTCCTGGGACATGGAGTAGGTGTGAGTGCTGTACAGAGAATGTCTGAGGACTTTTGCCTACTTATCCAAACCTGTCCAAGATGGGTCCTGATTGAACATGGTCCTTTGGTTCTGAACCTCAGTCTTGGGTTCTGTTTTTAGAATGTTATGTATTCCTGTGGAGCCAGAATTGGATTCTTCCAAGGAGATATTCGGTTGTTACCTGATGACATGAAGGCTCTGAAGCCCACAGTGTTCCCTACGGTGCCTCGCCTCCTGAATAGGGTCTACGATAAGGTACTAACTCTGTTTTTACCGTCTTGGTCTAGGGGAACCATTCATGACTAGGACTGCTCAAAAGTTCTTAAGGTGTCTACTGAGAAGTTTACTCCACCTCAGTCCCCAGCCCTAGAAAGATGTGCTCAAAGCCACATTTACAAAAGTTGTCATGAAGTATCATAACAAATGAAAACCCTTTTATTTTTTAAAAATTAATCTTAATGCAAGTTTAACGAGACTTTGGATTTCCATTCATTCATTGTTATACTTTTCTCCCTGCCCACCTGCCCTCAATTCGCTCTTCTTTTTGAGAAGTAAAAGAAAAATTCTTTCATTGTTATACAATCCCTCCCTCCAAGTCCACTCCACTATGCAGAAAAACCCATTCTCATGATGAACTTATTTGAATTTCCTATAAAAAAAATAACAATTCAACTCAGAGACTTGGGGAGCTGGCCAAAGAACTGACTAAGCGAAGGTTGTTACCTTGATTTTATAGCACACATTGTATAACCACGTAAACACAATGCTCACAGTAATACAGGAGATCATAGCACACTTTATTATCTCTACTTCACAGATGGGGAAAATAAGCCCAAGAAGTTAAATAACTGTACCTGAGTCATAGCTAAGAGTGGGGGAAGTGGTTAGACTTAAATTACCACATAAAAATGTTAGCCACCATCATCTGTTTTACATAATTACATACTGTTGCATCAGAACTGACCCATAGTTGGCCCTCCCGTGGGTTTTCTGAGACAGTAAATCACCTGAGTGGAGACAGCCACTCTTTTTCCCAGGGAGTGGCTTGTGGATTCGAACCATGTGCCTGTGAGTTGACAGCACAACTCTAGGAAGTACAAAATGGTAACTTTCCCATCATTCCTCCTGTATTTATTCACTAAGATTCTTCCATAAAAGTGCTACAAATATTATATTCCTTCCCTTTATTAAATCATCAGGAAAATGAATTTATGTTAAACATTGTTAAAGTGACCAAAACGATGTGTTATTTGCAATATAAAAATTCATAATTTTATATCTTGTACGTTTAATCCATTTCCCTTCCTTTTCTTGGGGGTCAAGCTTAGAAGCTGAGAACCCTGGCTTAGCTCCAAATAGTCCCGACTTAGAAGCCGAGTTGCACCTCTTGGTTCTTGTGCATTTTCAGTAGTCTTTGATGGCTGCTTCTTTGAGTTCTACCATGATTAAGTGCCTCAAACTCAACCTGTTTGCTTTTCGCTACAGTCTCAAATTGGCGATTTTTCTAAGGAGTGCTTATAGCGAAGATTTGAACCCAGACTCTTAATCATTTCATATTTACACAGGCACGGTGCTTGGAGGCACATATGGACATCTTTCATGACCTCTGACACCTCCCCTGAAGACTCTAACATTCCCATTCATGCTAGAGCATTTCACCGGGGCGGGGTGGGGGTGGGGCTGGTAATGGGGGTCTTGTGGGGTTGAAGTAGGAGTTCAGTGAGAGCTGGCCAGTTCAAGTGGAATTCTAATGATAATCCAGGAAAGCAGAGAACTCTGGTCTCTAACAAGTAAATCGTAATGTAGAATTATTCGTAATACAATTTTTAATTTTTGCAGTTGATAGTTTTCTATTTTTGAGAGAAAGTTATTTCATAGCATGATAATACTTAGTAATTGGAAAAAAAATTACTTCTCGGTACTCTTTTCAAAATAGAGGAATTTCTGAACTTTCTAGCTCTAACGCTTGATCTATGATTTTCTACACAGTGTATCTTGTCAATGTTGAAAAACACTGTATCTCTTATGGTTGAGGGAGGTATCAGGAATGGCATGGCACAGCTAGTCTTCGCATGAAGGTTTTGATGTGAGAAGATGCGATATTGGCAGAATGCTCCTGGCAAGGTCATGGGTCGATGCTTAGATCCTAGAGGATAGTTTGCATTAGGATAGGACGCTAAGCGGCTCCGTTTTGCTGGGGCTCAGTAATGGGGTCATAAACACAACAAATACATTCTTCAGTTTTTGGGAGAGAATTAGAATTTTTTTGCATCGAATTTCCAGTAGGATGGTAGCTTAGGTGCAATATATAGAGCACAGATTTTTGTTTTTGAAGTAAAGGACATTTTTTTTAGTTCTTCTTGGGAAAAAGTTCATCTTAGCAGCAATGTGTGTCATAAAGAGACCAGAGTCAGGGACACCAGGGTAAGTATGTGAACTGGGGTTAATAGTCCCAGAATGAAGCCTAGAGAAGAAAAATAATTATCTAAGCAGGAAATTGTCTTAGGTCAGAAGCACTTTAGTTGTAAACAAAGATAGTCCTTTTCCAAGAGCAGTATACCTAAGTATCACCTGGGGAGGGGACAACATTGTGCTTGTTTAAAAAGTCAGCTTCGTTATCCCTTCTTAGAACTATTAAATCCACTCCTAGCTTATTGGACTGAGTTTTGTTTTGTTGGGTTTTTTTGTTTGTTTATTTTATTTCTTTCTTTTTTTGGGGGGGGGTTGGAACTTAATTAACTTTATTTGTTATACAAAATCCGCTATGTGGTAGCCACAGCTGGAGCCTGGGTCCTCTCCACAGAGACTCTGGGTCTTGAAAGATGGTCAGTGAATTGCTAGTAGGGAGACTTGGTGAACACAGTCTTTTTCCAGAGATCTGGGGCCAAGTAGCTGCAGGTCTTAGAGATGGCATCAAAGGTGAATTTTTTTAAAAGAAAAAATTAAATTCTCTCAGATGAGTTTGTGGGTAGATGTCAACCACCTGCTGAGGTATCCTTACCTCAGCAGTCAAAGGTGTTTGCCAGAACCAGTTGCCCAAAGGGCTTGATGCTCTGTGTATTTGTACACTCTCTACTTCCATCCACGTGTGGAACATGCTCTCTGGGTTCATCATTCAGAAGCCCCCATTTTATGATTGGGGATCATGTCCTTATGCATCTAGAAAACAGCAGCTTTTGTCAGTAAACCGGGTGGCTTTACAGAGCATGTCCAGCAGATTTCTGACTAAGCGGTACTATCACCCTGCAGGTACAAAATGAAGCGAAGACACCTTTGAAGAAGTTCTTGTTGAACCTGGCTGTTGCATGTAAATTCAATGAAGTGAAAAAAGGCATCATTAGGAAAAATAGTATATGGGACAAGCTCATCTTTTCCAAGATTCAGGTAGGTTGTGGGGGCCCAGGCAGGAGCAATCACATGCCCAGGGTCCCCACTGGCCCAGCATGCCTCGTTTTCCTTGGATGGCTGGGCTTCTCTCTGCCTAAAGATTCTTTCAGACTTTCCCTGTCCACTCACCTTTCCATTAGCCACTCAGACAACGTTGCCTCTAAAGGGAATTGATTGGAAAAAAAAAAAGGCAGAAATCCCATTTTATTTCAATTCCTGCACTCTTTGATTTTTAGGCAGTTGTTTTCAAATGACTTTCTGGGGGGATTATAAGTAATGTGAGGCATCCACGAATGCAAATCATCTGAGAAACTTGTTTTAGAAACAGTGCAGCTTCTGGCCCTGAGGTTAGATGATGACAATAATTACTGTTCTTTTCAGTGCTGTAACTGTAATGCCAGTTCCTTTTCTAAGTTCCTTATAAATAAACAAACTTAGTTCTGGGCCAGTTACTCTACCCATTTCCAGAGAGTTTTCAGCAGGTCTTGTGTCTCTCCGGCACAGGCAAGCCTTGGTGGGAAAGTCTCTATCATGGTCACTGGCGCTGCCCCGATCTCCAGTCCGGTCTTGAACTTCCTCCGGGCGGCACTGGGATGTCCGGTAAGCCATGCATCTTCTTTAAAGATAACTTCGTTCACTCTTGAGCAAGTGAAGCTGTAAGGGGTTTTGGTGTTTTGGTTTGGGTTTGCTTTGTGGTTTTTTTTTGGTGTGGTGTTTTTGTTTTTGTTTTTTTAATTATATTGGTTTGCATACAAAATTCATTCATTGTATTTCACATTTTCCTTCACTCACATTGTGTTTCATACAGTCATTCCCATACATGGTGTTTTCTAAAATTAATCACCGTTAAACTATGCCCACTATTACCCTGTCTTTTTAGGTCCCCACCAGATCTTACTCATTTCCTCTACCTCTCCCTCCACCCACCAAATTATACGACCTTCTGATTTCACCACTGCCCTTCCTCACCTCTCTGCTTCCACCCCTCCCCCCCCTTGAGCTACATATATGTTTTACTAGTTGTCCTTCTATTTTTACAATGGTCTTATACAGTATATTTTCCTTATGAAACTGGGATTTTTTTAAACAAACAAACAAAAGGACAGAATGCAATTGAAACCCATCAATAAGACAGTCACCTAAAAATCTGAAATCCAGAGAAAATCTTCTCGTCACTTGCTTGCTGAAACTGAGGAGGACCTGAAGCGCTTGCTGTGGAAGATCAAGGACTGCAGCCTTCAATACGGACCGAAGCTCAACATCAAGAAAACAAAGGTTCTCACCACTGGGCTGATTGGCAGCATCTTGGTGGATATTGAAGAAACTGAGATTGTTAACAGCTTCAGTTTGCTTGGTTCCACAGTCAACACTCCTGGTACCAGAAGCCAGGAAATCAAGAGATGGATTGCATTGGGAAAGTTGGTTGTCAGGAACCTCTCTCCAGAGTACTGAAGAGCAATGATGTCAGGCTGGAGACTAAGGTATGTCTGATCAAGGCCATAGTCTTCACAATTGCTTGATATGCATCAGAGAGCTGGACAATGACTAGGGATGATAGAAGGAGAATTGATCCTTTGAGCTTTGGTGCTGGAGAAGAGTGTTGAACATACCTTGGACTACTAGGAAAATAAACAGGCTCATCCTGGAGAGGGTGAAACCAGGCTGCTCCTTGGAGGCAAGGATTCTGAAGCTTCATCTGACATACTTTGGACATGTTACAAGGAGGGACTGGTCCTCTGGGAGGGTGGAGGGAGAGCGCAAGAGAGGAAGACTGTCAAAGAGATGTATTGATTCAGTCTCTGGTGTAATGGAGGTAGGTGTGTCAGAGACAGTGAGGTTGGCACAGGAGAGAGCAGGGATTAGGGCTCTTGTGTGTAGGATCACTATGAGTCGCAAGCGACTCAATGGCACATAACAACAGCAGTCACCTGTATGTGTATTTGTGAACAGAAACTGTTTAATCAGCTGAATTAATGTTCTAAAACTTGTTAAATAATCAAGTCAAACTCAACTCCATACCATTGAGTCAGGCAGCTTAGAACTGGCCTTCCATTGCATGACTGAGACTATACGTTGCCGAGAAGGAGATTGCCCGTCTTTCTCCCATGGAGTCATTGGTGGATTCAAGCTGTCAGTGGTACAAGCCTGTCAGTCACTCCTCAGGAGAAAATGAGGGTGTCTGAGAGCTCTCGTGGCTCAGTGATAAGGAACTTCCCTGCCAATGCAAATGTGTGCAGCTTGAATCCACCAGCTGCTCCAAAGGAGAAAGATGGGCAGTCTCCTCCTACGAGATTTACCGTCTCTGAACACCTGCTGGAGGGTCAGCTATGGGTTGATTCTGACTTGATGGTAAATGACAACAACAACGTTCTGAAAGATATTTAAAGCCTCAGAAACCGTGTAAGACAATTCTACTCTGTCCTGTTGGGGCAGTGAGCTAGAAGCAGCTCCTTGACAATGAATGTGACTTTTTGGTTTTGATGTATTTTATTAATGTTACTTTTAGAAAGTAACATCATGCTTGGGAGGGTGGAAGGACAGTGCAGGAGAGGAAGACTCTGCATGAGATGGACTGATATAGTAACCAGGGTAATGGGGGCAGATGTGTCAAGACAGTGAGATTGGCTCAGAATAGGACAGGGTTCAGACCTCTTGTTTATACGGTTGTTAGGAGTCGCAGGTAACTATACAGCATGTAACAACAACTAGAAAAATCAGGTCTTTTTTTACACATTCCTGAAAATAATGGATAAAGTCTCTATGATAGACTTTGCCAGTTATTTAAATTTTGCCAGACACATGAATAAAAGCTTTTTGTAGCTTACTTCTTTATTTAACCCCGAATGTTTCCCATTGTCTCTTTGTACTTGCATTTCTTCCATGAGTAACTTGTACATAAATATTTTTTAACTGGCTTGCTTACAAAGTTCGTATATATTGTGTTTCACACTATTTTTCATGCACAACTTGCACATCTATTTCTTATAGAAAAATGAGCAAAAGGATAATTTTATTCTCTTTCATATTGCTTTCTAAGAGTTTTCCATATGATATAAATGATCTTTCTCTTGTGTTAGAAATATTTTTCCTAGACAGTCTCATCCTTTTGAGACTTGTGTATTGTTATGATAGGGTAGTCCCTAGAGAGTTGTATTGATACTTCCAAGGCCACACCGCTCTGGTAGTTCAAATCCACCAGTAGCCCCAAGGAACAAAGATGACCAGGGTCCTTCTGTGAAATTTACACCCTCAGAAAGTCAATGAAGTGCCAACTTGATGACCAAGAGTTTGGAGGGTTTTTTAATTATCTAAGAGACAAGGATGTATCAAATGCGTTAATGGTTGGCTACCCAACGCGGACTGAGAGTGGGGTGGAGCTCCCCGATTAAACAAGCGTGGCAGGAGGAGTGGCGTCCACTTCCATAATAGCCTGCCTCCGGAAACCCTATGAACCTGGAGAGAGGATGAAAGGCACCCAAGCATCGAGGACTCTCCTTCATAGGGTCGCTATGAGTCACCTGCGACTCGACGGCACTTAACAACAACAACCACAACCGCAACAACAACAAGAGCTTTAATGCTCTATGTGGTCAAGTTGATATAACCTTTTTAGTTGTTTAGACAAGATTTTCTAACTATCAATACTTCATGAGCCTATTTTTGCCCATATTTTCTGGTAAGAATAAAATTAATCATAGTCCATATGAGTCTCTGCACCATCTGTAATTTAGGGCTTAGGCACGAATTCTGCCTTCCTCCCCTCCCCCCAATGGCTAAGCAGTTTAATCATTTGACTACTTGGCCTAGTGAGGAAGAAGTTACGCTGCCGGCCCCAAACCCCACAGTTCATACCGACCATCTGCTCCTCCAGAGAAAGATGGGTAATCTTCGCTGTGATTTACAGCCTCTGGAAACCCACGGGGGAGTCAGCTATGAGTCAGTGCCGACTCGATGGCGCATGGCAAAAACGGCGAACTCAGTAAGACACACACACACACACACACACACACACACACATACACACACACGTCCTCACAGAAAATGTTCCCATTCTCTAACCATTAAAGAAACATCGGAATTGATGCCAAGGCCAGGGGTCTTTCAAATGAACACTTTCTTGGCTATTCTCAGTAGGATCCTTTCCCTCAAACCTGATCGGGAAGTTCTGTTAACACCCCTGCTTCAGAATGACCTCCTTGGTTTGCCCTCTGACTCTACCAGTTGTACCTGTCCTAAGCCATAGCCACCACTGGAGTGGCTTGTGAACTTGTTTCCCGCCAGCAGCCTCTCTCTGATCAGTATTTCTTTTCTAAGCTGGCAATTGGCAAACTGTGGCTTTCATAATGCTGCTTATGGGTAGGGTACTCATAGGAATGGCTTGATGCAGAGAAAAAAAACAACCCCAAAATCAAACCATGCTGCCCTGTTTTATAACACAGCTATAGGGTGGGTTTTTTTTCCTCTTAAAAAATAGCATTTCCTTTCTTAAATCTCTCATTGCTGAGATTGAAGTTGAATTGCATTTGGGTTTCACACTGTTGTTATGTGCCGTCGAGTCATTTGCGACTCATAGTGACCCTATGGACAACAGCCCTAAACCCCGCTCTATCCTGTGCCAATTGCATTGCCTCTGACACACCCATCCCAATTACCCCAGTCACTGGATCAATCCACCTCATAGAGGGTCTTCCCCTCCTGCGCTGTCCCTCTCTAAAGACCTATCTCTCCTTACAACATGTCCAAAGTATGTCAGATGAAGCCCCAGAATCTTTGCCTCCAAGGAGTAGCCTGGTTTAACCCTCTCTAGGATGAATCTGTTTGTTTTCTTGGCAGTCCATTCAATACTCTTCTCCAGCACCACAGCTCAAAGGCATCAATTCTCCTTCTGTCCTCCCTAGTCATTGTCCAGCTCTCTGATTGCAAAGACCATGGCCTGTATCAGGCGCACCTTCATCTCCAAAGAGACACCGTTGCTCTTGAATACTTTAGAGAGGTCCCTAACAGCAGACTTTCCAATCGCAATATGTTTTTTTATTTCCTGGCTGCTGGGGCCAAGAATGTTGACTGTGGAGGCGAGCAAACTGAAGCTGTTAACAATCTCAATCTCTTCACCATCCATCCTGATGCTACCAATTGGTCCAGTGGTGAGAATCTTTGTCTTCTTGACATTGAGCCTCAGTCCATACTTGACCCTCTGCAGTAAGTGCATGAGGTCCTCCTCAGTTTCAGCGAGCAAGGTTGTGTCATCTGCATAACGCAGATTGTTGATAGATCTTCCACCAATCCTAACACCACGCATCTCCTCATAGAGCCCAGCCTCTCAGATAATCTGCTCTGCATACAGGTTAAAAAGGTATGGAGACAGGACACATCCCTGGCGCACACCCTTCCCAATTTATAATTCACAATTTCCCACTGACTTAAAATGTCACATTTTCATGTGTTTTTATACTGTAGACTTTTTATGGATTTTAAGTGGCTATCCAGCTGTAACTTAGCAACTTAGCTTGAGTTTAAAGTATTAGGGCAGCAAGGGTCCTTGACCTTCAGAAATCTTGCTTTTGCCTTGCCTTGACCATAGAGCATGACCAACCAATGCCTTTCCTTGCATACCTCTTAAAGTCCTTCTTTGGTTTCTCTAGGTATTTGAAGCCTATGGTCAAACTGAGTGTACAGCTGGCTGTACGATAACATCATTCGGAGACTGGACATCAGGTACTTTTTTTTATCTACTGGGCAAGAGGTACTGTGCTTGTGAGAAAGCTCTAATCAAGCAAGAAAGTAGAGATTGAAATAACTTCAAGGTTCTGCATTGATAATGCAAATGTTTTTCTTGAACTTTTGGTATAGCTTGTACATATTGACTATCCCAGTATTGGTGCCAGAAGATCTATCTTAACCTTCTAGGGTCAATCCACAGATATTTCAGAAATGTGCTTGGGAATAGCTCAGTTTTGTGGTCACCCTGTTAATTCTGTATGGTGTGTTCTAGGCCATGTGGGAACTCCTGTGTCCTGCAATCATGTGAAGCTGGAAGATGTTGTGGACATGAATTACTTTTCTGTGAACAATGAAGGAGAGGTGGGTAGGCCATGCTACCCATGGGTGCAGTCATGTCCAGACAAATACAATGGGCGTCTTGACAGTAGAAAGAGGACAGAGTTGTGAGTAGGCTCAGACTTGAAACTTTTGAGATTTGGGACAAGGAGTTAAACGTCTCCCGTTTTCACTTTCTTGTCCCCCCTAAAATGGGGACTAAAGTCTAGGATCCCTTTACACTGTAGTGAAGACACCAGCAAGTGGTTTAAGGTTGGGGCAAGTGCCTTGTACCTTGCCCAGCAGGGAGTGTAATAGTCTGTGTTATGCCATCGCCTTGTACTGTCTGTACTTGAACTTGTGCAGATCTGTATCCGAGGCACCAACGTGTTCAAAGGCTACCTGAAGGACCCTGAGAAAACGGAGGAAGTCCTGGACAAGGATGGCTGGCTTCACACGGGAGATATTGGCCGCTGGCTCCCGGTAAGTATTTCTCTTCTGGGAATCTAAGCTGCTCAACAGGAGAGAATGATCCGTTTGTAGCAAGAAGAGCAGGAGAGAGAATTGGTTAATCATCTGAGGTTGCTGGTGGGAATCAGGACATGTCCTATTTGATTTATGGCCTCCTCATACTCATACTACAGATGTGAGAATGGTTACCCATGGTGGACAGTGTTTGGTGGAACTCCCCGATTAAAACAAGCTTGGAAGCAGGAGTGGCATCCACTTCCAAAATAGCTTGCCTCCGAAAACCCTATGAACCTGGAGAAAGGATGAAAGTTATATAAGCATTCAGATCTTTCATTCATAGGGTCACTATGAGTCGCCTATGACTCAACGGCACTTATCAACAACAACAGCATAGACAGAGATCAGTTGGCCTAGTGGACAGAAAGCCATGCTCCCAAGCCAAAGGTGGGTGACTTTAATCTGTGACCCTCAGGCCTGTTTTTAATTGTTTTTGGTCAAACATTCTTCTAGGTCATATAGCCCTGGTCTGTCCACTTGCTGTACAGAGGTAACTTGTGGTTGCTGTGAAGCTGAACACTGTGACACTGATGCGTCAAATGAGAGAATGGTCACCCATGGTGGACAGTGTTTGGTGGAGCTCCCCGATTAAAACAAGCTTGGAAGCAGGAGTGGCATCCATTTCCGAAATACTTTGCCCCCAGAAATCCTATGAACCTGGAGAAAGGATGAAAGTTATATAAGCATTCAGGTCTTTTGTTCATAGGTTTGCTATGAGTCGCCTATGATTTGACAGCACTTAACAACAACAACAACAACATACTACAGAGAGAAAATATCATTGCAGAAGTGGGGCTGGGAGTTGAGAGACTTTGTTCTAGTGCCACCTTTTCCATGAAACGATAACACAGTTTTGAGAAAATAACTTGATGTCTCTAGACCAGAGTCCTTTGCTATTTAGGTCACAGTGTTATGGAAGACAAGACACAGATCAGATAGAGGGGCTTCTTCTTCATTGTGTATTGTTGAATCAGAAAGAACCCAGGGCTACTGATACTTTTCTTCAGAGCCACATTGAAGAGCCTTTAATAGGTCAGAAAGTTCTGTGACAAGGGATGGATTACCTAAGAAATTCAAACTGGGTTTACTTGTGCTTACTAGCAATTTGTAGCGAGCACATCTTTACGTGGTAAAAGCATGTGAAACTGTTAAGCACAAAAAGGTTCATATTTGCTTTGCTTTGCTTTGCTTACTGAAAAGAGGCTTTAGTTTTGTAGGATGGTGCTGTGGGGATGGGAGACAGATGCCAGCCATACTTAGAAGCAGAATCTTTGATGTAGTGAGAAGATGTGAAATTGTTTATTACAGATTAGTAAGTAATCACATATCAGCCCACGTTTACCTTGGTTGTTGGGTAACCTGACGCTGGCTTGTACTCATGGCTGGCATTGCTCCCTTGACAGTTTAAAAGATTTGCTGATGTTGTTTTTATGTGCCATTGAGCAGAATACGACTCATAGTAACTCTATGAACAATAGACCTGAACCCTGTCCTCTCTTGTGCTGTTCTCATCACCTCTGACCTGCTTGAGCCCACTGATGCAGTCATCTTGCTGATACTCTTCTTTCTTCCGCTAACCCTCTACCTTTCCAAGCATGATATTTCTTTCCAAGGAACAGCTTTTCCTACAACATGCCCAAAGTATGTGAGATGAATGGGTGACCCTGGAAGACATTATGCTGAGTGAAAGATCTCAGTCACAAAAGGACAAATACTGCATAGTGCCACTGTTGTAAAACCAACCTGACATCAGGGTTGGGGTGAGACTGAAGAAGATGGGATAAATAATGTATACTGCATTGAAACAGATGAGGGAGAAAACTGTTTAAAAGGGATATGTGATTAGGTATTAATGTCATGACAGGAGTCCAGAATGAAGGCTGCACAGTGGCGCAGACTTGGAGGGAGGGATTGTCTAACAAAGCAAGACTTTTACTTTTCAAAGAGAAGAGTGAATGGGGGTGGGCAGGGAGAAAAGTGCAACAATGAATGAATGGAAATCCAAAGTCTCTGTAATTTTTCATTAAAATTAATAATAATAATAATAATAAATTATCTTTAAAAATTTTTTTAAATGTATGTGAGATGGAGTTTCACCATGCTCGCTTCCAATGAACACTCAGGCTGTACTTTCTTAAGAAAGTATGTACTTTATGTTTAGGAGTAAAAGCTCTGGTTAAACAGCAGGCTGCTAACTGGAAGGTCAGTGGTTCAAACCCTCACTCCCCACCATGGTCACTCCAAGGGAGAAAGACATGGCCGGCTGCCTCCACAAGGACTGTGGTTGTCATTGCGCTCTTTCGAGTCAGAACCGACTCACAGCTGACCCTCCAGTGGGTTTGCAGAGGCAGTTAATCACACAGGAGGAGACTGCCCATCCTTCTCCCGCAGAGCAGCTGGTGGATTCGAACTTCTTGCTTTCAGGATCACAGCACAATTTCTTGCCACTAGGCCACCAAATCACAGCCTTGGAAACCCTGCAGAGTCAATGTGACTCAGAATTGCCCTGACAGCATGACTTTGGTTTGCTGAGTCTGGTTCTAGAAAAAGTGTGAGTGAAGGGACAGGGCACTCTGTACTATGTATGTTGTTTTCTTGAGCCAGATCCGTGATTTTATAACCCCGTGAAGCCATGACTTTTGCCTTTTATGAGATTCAAGGGAAATATGTTGATAGAGGCCTATCAAAACATGGCAACAGGATTTTGTAAGGTCATTGCAGTATTGTGTCTGCTTCTCAGGGCCTTCATGGGTCATCTTTGCAGAAGACAGAGGTGTCTTCAGCAAGAGCTGCGAATAAACAATTAGCAGTAGTCCTACTCATTTTCCTAAGATGAGGAGACACTATCTCATGCTAACAATGAAGTAGCAAAACCGCTGAAGGATTTCAGGTCCTGAAAAGATCTCTCTTATAGGAAATTGTCCTGTGTTCCTATGTACTAGGTCGTTGTTGTTGTTAAGTGCCGTCAAGTCGTAGGTGACTCATAGCAACCCTGTGAATGAAGGTCCTCGGCACTTGTGTGCGTGACTTTCGTCGTTTCTCCAGGTTCATAGGGTTTCCAGAGGCAAGCTATTTAAGGAAGTGGATGCCACTCCTGCTTCCAAGCTTGTTTCAACTGGGTAGCATCACCAAACACTATCCACCATGGGTAACTGTTGTCGTATTTAACACATCAGTGTCACAGTGTTCAGCTTCACAGCGACCACAAGTTACCTCTGTACGGCAAGTGGACACAACAGAGCTATAGGAATATAACTAGTTCTTAAAAACTTTTCTTGCTTAATACTCCCCAAATTTAAATGAGTTTCAAGAATTTCTTTTAAGTTGTGAAATCTCTAAGAACCTTATTCCAAATGTCTTTGAGTCTGGGGTAGTTGGGTCTACGTTGTATAATAAACATCCCTTACTCCAGTAGACCTAGGATTCAGGCTATGGATGTGTCCTCACACCGAGATAGAAAGGCTGAGCCCATTAATTACCTTCAGATAATGTCTGCTGGGTTGAATTGAGGCCTAATATCTTGAGTCAACCTTGTTGATGGTTCCAGGGTGATTCAGCCTTTTGTCCTACTGAGCTCGTGAGCATGTGAAATGGATTTTCCACCTGTCCTAGTTCTACGATTCAAATCCTTAAGAACTTTAGCTTCTCAGGCTAATTAGCTTACAGAAATGAAGCTGCAAATGACCTTAGGTGACTGGTCAAGAAGCCCTCCCCAGATGGGCTCCTGTCCTAACATGCACAGTTGTTGACGAGATTAATTAACACAGCAGAGCTGTTGATTAGCACAGGAGAGCTGTTCTTGCCTGTTGCTTGATCTGAACAGAAAGAATATTTCCAAAGAAGTGAGAGAGGGAAGAACTAATTAATTCCAAAATCTCCACAAGATAGCCAATCTGTCTATTCTCAAGAGTTCTACAAGTGCAGTAATTTAAAATGAAGCTACTGGAAGTGGAAAGCAACATATTTTCTTGCTTGAATGAGACAACTATTTTCAGAGGCCCAGCAGGTCATGGGAACATACTCTGAGGCTTCACATTGACTCTCAACAAAGAGCATGGTCAAGGTCTTGTGAAACTGCTTTCCTCTTAGTTATCTACTTATCCACTCATTGCCATCAAGTCAGAACTGACAGCTGACCCTCTAGTGGGTTTTTAGAGGCTATAAATGACATAGGAGGTGACTGTTGATCTTCCTGTCTTGGAGCAGCTGATGGAATCAAACCTCTCGCCTCTGTGTTGCCAGTGAAACTCTTGATTCACTAGACCACCAGAGGCCCCTCTTAGTTACGTAGTGCTGCTATAACAGGGATACTGCAAGTGGATGACCTTAGTAAACAGAAATGTATTCTCAAGTTCAAGTTGAGGGTACCAGCTCTTGGGGAATCCTTGCTTTCTCTGTGTCAGTTATGGAAGAAAGTCCTTGTTTCCTTCAGTATCTGGAGAAATCTCCAAGTGTCTTGACCTTTTTTGGCACCAAGGAGCTTTTTGCAGCAGGAAACTGGGTCTAAAAGGATGAGCTCCACTCCTGTCGATTATTTCATAGTCTAGTGAAGCTCCCCCCTTTGACCCTTCTCAGCTGACCTAAGGAAGGTTCCCTTACATGCTGCATTCCACCCTTAATCTTTGTACAACTATTTGGTTTATCAGATCTTGGAGGGGATCGTTTTATAGCATTGTTGTTGATTGCCTTTGAGTCAAGCACAATTCATAGCAACCCTATGAACAAAAGGCCTGATGCCCCTCTGCAACTATCGACATTTATCAAAGTTCATAGAGTTTCCTGAGGCAAATTGTTTAGGAAGTGGATAGTATTAAGTCATTATATATATATAATGCATTATATATATTATACATTATATATATATTATACATTACATATATATTATACATTATATATATATATTGGAGAAAATAAATTCAATCCATGATGCCTTCCTTTTCTCCAAAGTCAAGATACAGATTGTCCCAAAGCCTCTAGAGAAGTCAGGTCCCAGGAAGAAAGATACCTGTGACTTTCTCACTGTCCCCATATTTGGACCGACTCCTTGGTCTCTAAAACACTGACACTTCTCTTTGCATTGTATAGAATGGGACTCTGAAGATCATTGACCGAAAAAAGAACATCTTTAAGCTGGCTCAAGGAGAATACATTGCTCCAGAGAAGATCGAGAATATTTACATCAGGAGTAGACCAGTGGCACAAATATTTGTACATGGGGACAGTTTACGGGTAAAACCTCATTTTATTTTATTTATTTTTTTATAATAGTAATTTTGAGACAAAGGCCCTGCTGATTCCTGTAGCCACCTGAAGTTTGTACAAGGTGGGTTCAGGATGAACAGAGCTCAGCTTGTTCTGACTGAAAAAAAACCCCACAAACCCAAGCTGTGCTCCAAGTTTCAAATAAAGCAATGTAAGTGAAAAACAAGAACTTTCCCCTCAAAAGTACATAGACTTCGGAAACAAATCAGTAGAACAGCTCTTCTTCGAAAGTGGTTGTTTAACATAGAAGAATCCCCCTCTGCATTTTGTTTCCACATTGACAGTTGGTTCTCTGTTCCTACCACTAGGTTCCTATCACAGTGTTGTTGTTAGTTTGCTATTGAGTTCGTTCTAACTCAAGGCAAAGTCAGGTACAATTACCCTACACATCCCCAGGCCTGTGCTAGCTTCGAGATCACTGCAATGTTTCCATTCCATCTTTTTGGCTATAGTGTCGCAATGAATCCACTTAATCGAGAGTTTTCCTCATTTTTGCTTTCTACTTTATCAACCATGATGTTTATATTATAAACTATTATATATTGTATATTGAATTTCATGGGGGAAGGTCAGGGGTGTTGAACAGCCCTGAGATGTTTTAAGTTCATTGTTGAGCAGTGCTTTTTTAAAAATAACATTCTGATAGAACATCTTTATCATGAGATGGCCATGGAGAAAACGGGGTCAGAGAGCACTCTGGGTGTTTTTAATAAAAGGTAAGAAAATCGTAGAACATGACGAGAGAATCTGAGGTCTATGACGAAGGCTTCTCCTCTTTCTTCACACCAGAGGCAAGCTCTCACATGCCATATACTTTCTGTTTCCTTTTTACAGTCATCCTTAGTAGGAGTTGTGGTTCCTGACCCAGATGTGTTTCCCTCATTCGCAGTCAAATTTGGGGTGAAGGGTTCCCTTGAAGAACTGTGCCAAAACCAAGTAAGTCTGGAGTAGGGAAGTCTGATGCAACTGCCGGCTCCCTGGTGCATTGTGGGAGAGGGGAGGCCCCCTCCAACTAACACCCTAGACCCATTTTACACATACAGTTTCTTCCTACTTCTGAGGTATCACAAATGGATTCATTGGTGTGATTAGACTAAGGGATTGGATGCATTTGTAAGATATTAACATTTGACTTTGTATAGTACTCTTTCATGTAAAAAAAATTAAGTAAAAATAAATGCTATCCAGAGACAACTCTGGATAACATTTAGATTTGCCTTTACTTCTGATTCTTTTAAAATCACTATTAAGAATCCAATATGTTTGCATACACTCGGATACCCAGCTTTTAGCCTGAGGAAGCGTTCTAGACATTTGGGTTGCTGGGCCATGTATCGTCTTTCAGTCAGGCTCTTTGCCACCTGTTTTCATATTCACAGGTACTGAAGAATGCCATTTTAGAAGACTTGCAGAAAATTGGGAAAGAAAGTGGACTTAAATCCTTTGAACAAGTATGTATAAATGTTGTCTGTCAGACTCAATTCTTATTACAGGTCTTATTGAAAGTTCCCACTTCTAAAAAGGTTTCAATCTCTCCTCATTAAGTACAGATTGCTAACCATTCTTCAGTGGGACGGTAGTGACCTTTTGTTGTTTGTTTACCTCTCTTTGTGCTCTTCACCATCCATTCTCACTTCTTAAGACTCCTTTCTTGGTGACCTCTGGTGGCCTAGAGGCAAGAAGCTGCACTGCAGTCCCAGAGGTGTGTGGTTCAAATCCACCAGATGTTCTCCTGGAGAAGGGGGGGCAATCTCCTCCTGTACCTGTCAGATCCGATTTGATGGTACACACACAAAAATAATTAAAAAAGAAAAAGACTCCTTTCTTCCCCAAATTCAGGTGGGTGAAGAAGGGTTTACATCATTGCTTCTTCTTCTCCACCTTTAGAATATTGGATATTCTTTTTTTTTTTTTTTTAGAATATTGGATATTCTTTAATCGAAGTTCACCACATAGCTTTCTGCAGGAAAAAGTCCACATCACAACTAAACTTCCACATCACAACTAAACGTGTGTGTTCACCTTCTCTTCCAGGTTAAAAAAATCTTTCTTCATCCAGAGCTGTTTTCCATTGAAAATGGGCTCTTGACACCTACATTGAAAGCAAAGAGGGCGGAGCTTTCCAAATACTTCAGGGTCCAAATCGATAACCTGTATGAGAGTATGCAGGAGTAGATGAAGGTACTTACAGTTGGGGGAGGGGCGTGGAGGTATTTACATGCTGCTTCGTGTTGTTGTTGTTATGTGCTGTCGTGTCGTTTGTGACTCATAGCAACTGTATGTACAACAGCCCTAAACCCTGCTCTGTCCTGTGCCAATCGCATTGCCTCTGACACTCCATCCCGATTACCCCAGTCACTGAATCAATCCACCTCATAGAGGGCCTTCCTCTCCTGCGCCGTCCCTCCACCCTCCCAAGCATGATGTCCCT